ACCCCCCCACCTCCAAAGGCCGTTCTGAGCATGCCCAGTGGAGTGCTGGGTCAGACCCCTCCGAGGTCCAGGAAAGCCTCCAGAGTGGACGAGGTAAGAGAGGAGGGATCTGGGTGGGGGGGGCAGTCCTTTCTTGGGGGGCTGTTTTTCTCATGCTCTCCTTTCTGGGGGGGGCAGGTGGCGCCCGCGAGGCTGAGCAGCCGCTGGGGGGCCGAGGCCTGGAGGAGGTGGGTCCAGTGGAGGCGGTCCCAGCCCGGCCTGGGCCACCTGACCGGTAAGTCTCCTCCCTCTGTGGGACCCCTGTGACCCCCCCCCCTGACCCAGAGACTCACAGCTCTGTCTGCCGCCAGCCGGGAAGCTGAGGCCGGACGTCCTGCAGTGTCCTTCGGCCGTGCTGAGCCAGGGCCTGTGCCTCTTCATCAGGGAGGTGGACCGGCTGCAGGAGGAGCCGCCCCCCCCCGACGGCCTGTTTTACCTCTGCCTCAGCCTGCAGCAGGTGCTGTCCGGGGCCCACGTCCCTGTGCTTATTTATGTCTCTTTGTTGTTGTCTTTGTTATCGATTAATGACCCTTTCTCGTTATTTTATGTCACTTTGGGGCTGTTTTTTGTCTTTTTGTGGTTGCTTTTTATCTCTTTGTTGTCGTTTTATGTCTCTGTGCTTATTTTATGTCTCTTTTTGGTTGTTTTGTGCCTTTTCGTGGTTGTTGAGTGTGTTTGGTTGTTTTGTGTCTTTTTGTTGTCGCTTTATGTCTCTGTGGTTTTTTTTGTCTCTTTGTGGTTATTTATCCCTTTGTTGTCGTTTAATGACCCTTTGTGGTTATTTTATGTCTCTTTGTGGCTGTTTTGTGAGTTTTTGTGGTTGTTTTGCATCACTTTGTGGTTGTTTTGTGAGTTTTTGTGGTTGTTTTCCATCACTTTGTGGTTGTTTTGTATCTCTTTGTTGTCATTTTATGTCTCTGTGGTTATTTTATGTTTCTTTGTTGTTGTTTTGTGAGTTTTTGTGGTTGTCTTGCATCACTTTCTTTGTTCTGTTTCTCTCTGTGTAGTGTTTGTGTCCTCGCTGACTGCGTTGTGGTCGGCTGTTGCTGAGTGAAACTTTGTGTGGTCACTGTGTGTTTGTGCATCTTTGCAGCACCTGCTGGAAAACGGCCGGTTGGAGAACATCTTCAGCGATCTGATTTATGGCAGCTTCTGCCAGCAGTTCACAGAGATGCTGAAGAGCCGCCGGCCGCCTCCTGGAGCCAGTGGGTTTGATCCTCCTTTCTCCCTCCTCTCTGGCCCCCACCCTGGTCTCCTTTCTCCCTCCTTTCTCCCTCTTCTCTGGCCTCCTCATTCTTTCCTTTCTCCCTCATCTCTCCTTCTTCTCTCCCTCCTCTCTGTTTCTTCTCTGTTTCCTCTCTGGCTCTTTTCTCCCTCTTCTCTGGCCTCCGTTGTCCCTCCTCTCTCTTTCATCTCTCCCTCCTCTGGGGCCTCCTCTCTCCCTCCCCCTCCTCTCTCTTTCCTCTCTCCCTCCTCTCTGTCCTCCTCTCTGCACCCCCCCTACCCCCTCTGTCCTCCACCTCCTCCTGAGCTCTGCCTCCCCTGCAGGTGCCGTGGGCTCCTGTGTGCAGGAGTCCTTCCTGTGGGACAGCCGGCTGCTGGGGGCCTACTCCCCCTCCACCATCCTCCACACGCTGCTCTTCTTCTGCTGCAAGTACTTCGGCCTGAGGACGCTGGAGCAGCACCGCCGGCTCTCCTTCTGCCGCCTAAAGAGCTGCAGGAGGACCCACCCGGACGGCAGCCAGACCGCCATGCTGCGCCTCTACCCCCCCACGGGGCCAGGTACAGGCCCCACAGCCCCCCCAGGGGGGAGGTACCAGACCCCAGGGCCCCATCAGGGGGCAGGTACAGGCCCCACAGCCCCCCCATGGGGAAAGTACAGGCCCCACAGCCCCCCCATGGGGAAAGGTACCAGACCCCACAGCCCCTCGGGGGGCAAGTACAGGCCCCAGGGTTCCCCCAGGGGGAAGGTATGGGCCCCACAGCCCAACCAGCCCCAACAGGGTGCAGGTACAGGCCCCACAGCCCCCCCAGGGGGAAGGTACCAGACCCCACA